CCGGGAGGAGGTTAAGCGGCGCTGCGGGCGGACACGGACACACGGACACGCGTGCCGGTACGGAACGGACACACGGACCGATGTAGGGCTGGATGGACACACGGACCGGTGTGGGACTGCACAGACACACGGACGCATGTGCCAGTGTCTGCATACGGATGGACACACACATGCGTGCATGCTGGACGCATGGACAGACATACAGACGTGCACACGGACAGAGACATGGACACGTCCCTAGGTATAGACGTGCACATGCGGAGGCACAGACTCACACACACAAGAACATGTACAAGTGGGCACAGACCTACCTGCACTGGCACGCGTGCACAAGCACACCCGTGTGCCCACACACACATCTATGCACGCAGGTGTGTACACAGCTATGCACTCACCCTTTGCACTTCCATGTGTCCACAGCACGCATGGCACACACACACACACGCAGAGACAGGAATACATGCACATCCACACATATGTACATCCACAGGTGTGCAAATCTGTATGTTCCACAGGTACACACACACACACTTCCCGTGCACATGCACAACCACAGGCATGCACACACACCCCTGCGTGTACAGGTGCAGGCAGGCACATGTGCATTATACAGACATGCACAAATACAGGTGCACCAGCACGTGAGCGCAGTGGGCTCCTGGGGACCCTGGCACCCCTTGCCTGGGGACCCCTTTGACCAGTTGGGGGCTAGGTCGGTGCTGTGTTGGACTCAGCACCCTTTGGGCAAAGAGGCAGAAGCACACAGTTACCACGTGCCACCCTGTGCCACCCTGGGGCACACATGGCCCTAAGCACTGATGTACCTACCTGTGCACAGCCGGGCCGAGGCAGGAAGGTGCCGGACGTGGCGGGGGGGCAGTGCGTTTATTGCCCGCGCAGAGCATCTGGAGCGCCCGAACCACGGTGCTTCCTGGGGGGCTCGGGGCACAGTCCCTCCCCGCAGGGCACACGGCTGCTGGAGGGTTCCGTGCTGGCCGTGAGCACTTGCTGTGCCTCTGTCTCCGGCGTTCCCAGGGCACGGTGGACATCCTGTGGACGCCGGCGGCTGTC